GGTGATTAGGTCGGGAGGAGGGAGCCCCAGAGAGCTCCATGCACCCGTGAGGGCGCAGTGAGATGGTCATCTGTGACCCGGGCGGCAAGCTCCCACCACACATCCAGTCTGCCAGCTCCTTGGTCTGGGACTCGCTGGCCCCCAGAACCATGAGCCACTTGTGTACTTGCAATCTGCCCCATGTTCGGTGTTCTGCGCTGAGCCCTTCCAGACCGAGCAAGATTGGGAGCCACGTTCTCCCAGCTGCTGGCCTCTCAGGCTCTATCTCCCCTCCAGTAAGCTGCCCGTGGGCCTCGCTGGGGCCACATGCCTACCGAGCTTTCGGTGATGTCACCCCAGCTTCCACAAAGTGCTTACTCCATGTCCAGAGTGTGGAACAGCATGGTGGACTGGACACGCCACCGGCGTGCCCCAACCAGCGTGGCCCTGGTGCCCAGAAGCCTACTTGTCATTTGCATTGCATTCCCCACAAGCCTTGACGTCAGCTCTGCTGGCCTTAGAGGCCACGTGTCCTCAGTTAGCATTGTTCACTGCGTCCCCTCTCTCTCTAGGGTGGCTGCTTGTTTCCCTAACAACTTTATTGTGATACGGTGCACATCCATGTCATTCACAGCTGACCCTATGCAGTTCAGTGGCTTTTAAGAGTTCAGAACTCAGCAACCATCGGCATCATCAATTTCAGAACATTTCTCTTAGCCCAGAAAGAAATCCAGCACCCCTTCATCCTCACCACCCACCCCACTCAGCTCCCCATCCCTCTATGGATTTGCCTGTTGTGGACATAACCAGTACAAATGGAATTGTGAAGTTCCCCAGGGCTTCTGGACCCTTCCTTGAACGTCATGCCCTCGTTCCTCCCACGTTCCCTCCCTTTCCCTGGAGCCCCCAAGCTCACACTGGCCTTTGCTCACCACACATGCCGGAAGTTCTGTCAGCCTGTGGTGTCTGCTGTCAGCCCAATGCCAAGACCATGAAGAGCGTGTGTAAATAATGCCTTGCCTTGCTTTTCGTATTCTTCCGAAATATGGCTAATAAAATCCTGCTTCACCCAGAAACACCATTCTAAGAACAGATGTCCCACAAGCTGGGGTTTTCCTACCACTCAAGACCCTCTCCTAGGGGTACCTGGGTGGCTTAGTGGGTTAAGCCTCTGCCTTCGGCTCAGGTCATGATCTCAGGGTCCTGGGATCAAGCTCCGCATCGGGGGCGGTGGGGGGGGGTCTCTGCTCAGCGGGGAGCCTGCTTCCCCCTCTCTTTCTCTGCCTGCCTCTCTGCCTGCTTGTGGTCTGTCAAATAAATAAATAAAATCTTAAAAAAAAAAAAGACCCTCACCTAAGTAGAGTAGAGCAAAGTGGCCCAAGGAGGTGGAAGGACCCACAGTCAACGTGTAACCCAAACCTACAGTGGAGCGACGACCTGGGCCTGGCATCCAGCTTCCAATTCCTGGTGGGTTTGTGTGACTGCCTGCCTGCCATCTTTGATCCTAGTTGAGGTGGTGGGGGCTCGGGGACTGATTAGATGGTGGTGTAGACAGGCTTTCCAACTTTGCTTCTACCCTGGTTTCTCTTTTCTGCTTAGGAAGGACCTCAGAGGGGTTCAGCAGTTTGAGCTGGAATTTTTGAATGCCAGGGTGTGATGGATTTTACTTTGCTTCTGCTTGTCTTTAAAGATTAAAGCATAAAGGAGAGGAAGATGTACTTACAATGCAATGGGAAGTTTTAATCCTTTAGGCTCTGTGGTTGATGTCCTCCCTTCCCAAATAAATAAGGGCAGTGCCAGGCCTGCTTCTGCCCCAGCGCTTCCAGAAAAGACCCGCCAGTTCAGGGCCAGGAGACACCAGCTGCTCCAGGCTATGCAAGAAAGTAAGAGCCCAAGTATGCCTCAGTTTGGAATAAAAAGCAGAGCTGGTACTCCAGCCCTGCCTTGGGTTTCTCCAGTCTCCTTGGGTGGTTGGAGAGAGAGGTTCTTAATTTTTTTTAAGATTTTATTTATTTTTGAAGATTTTATTTATTCAGGATGCCTGGATGGCTCAGTTGGTTAAGCGTCTGCCTTGGGCTCAGGTCATGATCCCAGGGTCCTGGGATCAAACCCCGCATCGGGCTCCCAACTCAGTGGGAGGCCTGCTTCTCCCTCTCCCACTCCCCCTGCTTATATACCCTCTCTCGCGTCTCTGTCAAATAAAAAAATTTTTTTTAATTTTTTAATAAAAATAAAATTTTATTTTTAAAAAAATATTCATTTGAGAGAGGGAGAGCATGAATAAGCAGGGGGAGCGGCAGGCAGAGGGAGAAGCAAGCTTTCTCCTGAGCAAGGAGCCCGATGCAGGGCTTGATCCCAGGACCCTGAGATGAAGGCAGACGCTTAACCAAATGAGCCACCCAGGCATCCAGAGGGAGGTTCTTTAAAAGGAGGCTGACAGCAGCTAACCCAAGGCTGGGGCCTTGGCTCTGCCGCTGCCAGCCCGGAGATTGATCCGGTGGTCTTCCTGAGCTCTCAGGTTGCGGGAGGCTCAGCAGGGGCCCCGCCCTCATAGAGGTCTCTGAGGAGTGGACAGAACCTCCATGTGAGGCACTGGGGTGGGGTCCCACACATGGGAGCACTCAGCACAAGGCCGCCCTCGTTCCATCCAGGTGTTGCCACCCGTACCTGCTGCTGCCCTTGTGAGACCTCAGGGGCTCCCTGAGGTCTCATCGCCTCGCAGCCAGGAGCACAGACCAGCTTCCTTAGGTTGAGGAACGCGGGGCAGTTTAGCCTTCCTCGCATTGTTAGGACTTTCTTGTTCGGATGTTCGCTTTTTCAGATTACAAAAGCAATATATGATCCAATATTCAATATTATGGGAGAATATGAAATAAAGCGACTGCCCCCAGCCCCTGGGTACAGGCTGTGAAGTTGCGGTGCCCACTCGCAGCCTCCCACATCACTGCTAAATGGCTCCACTGTCCATCTTCTTGCTTTCGGTCCGTCCCTTGCCCTCCATGCCCTGCCAGCTCTCCCAGATCTTGGTGCTGGGTGCACATTCATGTCCTGTCCGTTTGAGTTGGTTGAGGCAGGTGAAGTGCCCTGGAGAGTCAGCCTTGTCTGTCAGAGGAACGTGGAGTCCCCCCTTTCATGATTTCAAGGATACTGGGAGGTCTTGTCCAACATGCCTCCCCAGACCCCAGTCCCCGGATTCCCTTCCTAGGAGGAGTAGTTCCCTAGGCTATTAGTTCCGTGGATCCTTCCTTTCTGATCAGAGAGAAAGAAGGTACAACAGTGACCTGAGAGGAGAGAGAGGAGAAAGACATGATGCCCGATTGGCTGTCCCCTGACTTTCACTCAGCGCCACTTCCTTGGGACTCACACAGAATAGGAAAACCAGCCCCTGTTTTTTAGCTAGACCATTCAGCTTTAATAAGAAGAAGTTGAACTTTGTCAACAGCTAAGTCTGAAGGCTGCCTGGGGTGGTGCAGATTTTGGAGACAGGCCTGGGTTCAAATCTGAATTCCTTTCCTGACTTCAGCATGGAATTCAGCAAGCTACTCTCTCTTTCTGGACCTCAGGAGGATGGAGCTCAAGCTCCCTTGTCCATGGCTGTGAGGACGAAATGAGCAGCTCTGCATTGGGGGCCTCCGCAGGCAAGCCCAGGATGTGTCCCCGGAGCCTCCCAAAGGCCAGAACCCAGGGACAGATTCAAGCCTTCGGCAAGGCCCGCATGGGGCCTCTGCACTGCCCACGCGAATACACCCCCGTCCACGTGCCATTTCTTCGCCTTTCACATGGTGCTTTCATGCATGGTTCCGCCGAGCACAGGGGGACAGCTAGCTTGCTTACCTGTGAGAAACATGTCAACATAACATGCTTAGTCAAATTCATTATCTTATTTAAAGGAAGATGTGGTCTTATGTTTTTCTGTCATTGTTTTACATGTGAATTTTATCCTCGGTTATGATTATCAATGTCTTGAGGAAAAGAACCATCTTTCCATACGCCCCCTCATTTAATTATTCGCACAGCCTTGTGAGGTAATAGTGCTCCTGGGTGATAAGTGATGAAGACACCCCAGGAGTGGAGGTCAGTGCCCACAGCCTCAGCGGGTAGGAGGCAGAGCAAGCCCAGGACCGGGGTTCCCATGCTCTCAGTTTGCCTCTTTTGCCTTCTGGGTCCAACCGCTGTGTGGCCCTTGGAATGGCCACGAGCATCACAGGGCAACAGCACAGAGTGGTTCAATAGTGCTGGCTGTTACTGTGCTAAAAAAACAAAACAAACAAAAAAAAAAACAACTTTCGGGACGCCTGGGTGGCTCAGTTGGTTGGACGACTGCCTTCGGCTCAGGTCATGATCCTGGAGTCCTGGGATCGAGTCCCGCATCGGGCTTCCAGCTCCACGGGGAGTCTGCTTCTCTCTCTGACCTTCTCCTCGCTCATGCTCTCTCACTGTCTCTCTCTCTCTCAAAGAAATAAATAAAATCTTTAAAAAAAAAAAAAAAAACAACTTTTTTTTTTTGCGCAGTCTTAATATTCTGTCAGACTTCACAGTCCCCTTTGTGTTGTGGTGGTGGTGGTATTGTTTAAAGAAAGGTTTTGCTTATCTCATTCATACATAATTCATGCCTCTGGCTGGGGCAAGAGTCAGAGAGGAGGGCAAAGTATTTGAATATAAGTCTCTCAAACTCTTTTCTTTGGCAACTTACTCTTAGAAAGAAAAGGAAGTGAAAGCCCCAAGTGTCTGGGGAAATGTCTCTCAGGTCAAGAGCCCACATGAGTTAGCTCTGCCTATAGGAAGTCTGCCTAGACACCCCCCAGGTCAAGGCCAGAGCTACCCCACCTCCCTGACTAGTGCCAACCACCTAGAAGGAAATGGCCAAGTGTACCCACAATGTTAACACAAGCCTATAAAATGATGACAAATGTCACAGTGACATTTAAGAATTTAGTAAGGAAACCAGGACAGGAAAGATCTTAAAACAAACCACACAGGAAGCTTGTCACAAGTCTCAAGTTTTTTATTTTCAGAACAGAGGCTGGTTTTATTTTTAAAAAGAAAAAGGGGGGAGGGGGAACGTGCTCAACGCTAGTGAGGTGCAACTTCCCTTCTTCCAGGCTCTAACTTCCAGCCAGCTCTCTTCCCCCAAAAACACATGGACTCAGAACCAGGCCAGGTTATATCAGAACAGCCTTTAGAGAGAGGCCGGTCCAGCCCCCTTTTACAATCTGTAGAGTCAGAGGCTCAGGTCAAGGGCACGCCTTACTGGCACACACATTAGAGGCAGACGGTCTGAATTCTGTACCCAGGGTACTTTTCTGTGAACCATACTTCTGGCGTGAGCCTCAGGAGACAGTGCACCTCCCCGGGGACACATCTCCAGTTTCACCCCCCACTACAGATGCTCCTAGAAAGCAAGGAAAAATCGGGGTCATGTCTCACTGTGAGTAGGGCAAGGAAAGAAAGTAAAAGCACTCATGAAAAACACCGGAAGGAAGGGATTGACCCCTGAGCGCAAAGTGCTCGCACCAGATGTTTGAAAGAGAATGTCCAAGGGTGAGTGGGGGGCCGGCAGACAGAGCCTGAGCAGGACCAGCCTCTGCCAGAGCTGGCCGGGTTGCCATCAGTCTCTCAGCGTACCTAGGGAAGTGGTAGCTCATTGGAACCTATCACAGCCTCCCACCAGAAAACTCAACAGCACTCAGATTTTATAGTCAGTCACTCAGCGGGGGAGACCAGCATCCAAACAGGAGAAAGGGAGTGGGGCAGGGGCCAGCCAGGGGCTGGCCATGGCTCAGACACAAAGTCCATTCACAGCCACTGAGATTAGGTAGCAGAGAGAGCAAAGCTGGAGAGAGGAGATGGAGACCCAGGGAAGAGTCTGGGCCCAGGACTTTGAGCACACGGAATTCTAAGGGAAAGACTATGGTGGGGGGAGAAGGGGGAGTGGGGAGACAGAAAAAAAAGACTAGTTGCAAAATCCAACCCACTAATAATATTGGACCTCGGAGGGCAAGGGGCTGGGAGCATAGATTAATACATTGAGTGTAAACATGTTTCCTCCATCATTCCCCACTGTGACAGTAGGGGAGGCTCAGAAGGACTCTGGTCAAGACATCAGTCCCTCTGTGTCTCTGTCAACAAACCCCCAAGAAGTTGGGAGAAAAGAGCTCCAAGTAAAACACTGAGACTCAGAAAGCAAAAGCAATGTGCCATCAAAGCGAGTGAGGGACAGTCAAAACTACAATCATGACTTCTGGTCCTTTGCCCAGAGTGTATTACACCCACAAAACATACGAGGGGGTGGGGGAGGGGAAACAAAAATTCTTACAGTTTTGCCCCCACCCCATCCTATTCTGGGGTGGAGGACAGTGAGTATTTCCTGGCCTTGCTGCCAACAGTCCTCCTACACTCTTACCTCCCCGAAAAATACTTATCCACCCTCAAAAATTCCAAGAGAGATGTCCCACATCGAGACCATAAGTGGGCAACCGCTGGGTGTCCCTTGTCATTAATCTCAACAAGAATGCCAGAGAGGAAGGCAGGGCAGGGGGAGGATTTACCCAGACTTCCTCTGCAGACTGCCTTCTCCTTAGAAATTCTCTTTACCAGAGGAGAGGACAAAGGTCATCACCACCTTTTCTGAACCACACCAGCCTTCCCAGAGGAAGGACAGATGTGGAATTGGATTTCCTTGAGCCAATGGCAGCCCCAGCTTCACATCATTTCAGGAACCCCACCAAGGCTGTTGTTCTAAGCCAAGATCTGACCCAGTTAGCAACAAACGTCGGGAAGGATAAGAGTTCTGGGTGCAGAGGGAGAGAGAGTGGGAGGGCAAGCCAATGGCTGATACTCCACAGACCCTGTAATAAGACTGGCACCAAACCCCAGCTGGATCCAGTGGCCATGTTAAATGCAACTTCTGAGTATTTTGCCTTTATTTTTTTGCAAGCAGCATCAGTGCATGATGCAACAAAAGTTGAAAGCACGGAGGTAGAAATGCTCACTCACCCAAGAAAGGGTGCAGTTTTGTCCTTAGGGTATGGACCCTCTCCTCCCACAAGCTGAGAAGAGAGGAGTAGAATTGAGGAAGATCCTGGGTGAGCGTCTCCCTTGGAGGAGAGCAACTGGGCAGCTCCCAGGAGCCCAGCTCTTTCTGGGAATTCACGGCCACAAATTCAGGTAGGAATGAGGAGGGTGGTCGTATGTGTGGTGGGAAGGACAGGGCCTCCCCAGATCTCCTACTGATTGCAAGGGGCCACAGTGTGGAAACAAGAAAACTATACTATACACACAGACAAACACAGACTTGGCATCTACCATCTGGAAAAAAATCCAATAGACACATCAGGGGAACAGTGGATTCTGGATCCGTTTCAAGGCGTGGGACAATGATCACCAACCACAGCCTATAAGAATCTGGCACTTCCAAGCCAGGGGGAAGGCTTCAGGCCCAGCACCCCTGTCTGGGCACGCCCTTTTCACCATTCTCCCCGACAATGGACAAGAATTAGGATGGCGGTGGGAAAAGCAAGAAGCAGAGGTATCTGGCCCCTGGAGGCTAGATTAGGGTAGGGCATGGAGAAAGGGAAATAGAATAGTAGGTGGACCTTCCTCCTTCACCATTAGCTGCTGGTCTCCCTCCAAGCAGTCTTGACCCAAGGGGTGCAGAAGGACACACTGGCCCTTAGCCCTATTAACAGTTCCGTCTTCCAAATAGACCCTGATCAAATCTGGGTGAAAGACGATCAAAGGACAAGGGGCTGGGGTCTCTCAACCCCAAAGCAAGCCCCTCTCCCTTATCCCTCCTCAATTCTGGGAGGCCACGGCCAGGGTATTGACATAGCCATGGGTACCCCCCTCGTTCTCCGAGATGCAGTGGCCCAGCTGGGAGGGTCCCTGAGGTGGTGGTGGTGGCGGTGGCGGTGGCGGGGCGGAGGGCGGAGCGCCGTAGGCCCCTCTCCCCCGAGTCGGGGAGGCCCGACTCCCCCGGTCCCAACAGCCCTCTAGGGCTTCCAGGCCACGGCAGCCAAGGAAGAAGAGGTTCTTGAGCATGAAGATGGAGAGGGGCTGCTGGTAGCTCACCACCAGGAGGCAGCGCAGCGCCAGCAAGGGCACGTCCACCAGGCAACCGCCCAGCAGGCGCAGAAGGCGGCTACAGCTGCCCGGCCCGGAAGCCTGGCCCCAGGATGAGGCTGCCGCTGCGGCGTTGAGCTCATAGAGCCAGAGCACCGGCGAGGAGAGGGTGAGGAAGTAGACGGCGATGAGCAGGTAGCGCAGGTGCGCGGGTAGCGGCACGCGGCCTTCCAGCATCAGCTCCACCAAGGTGAAGCTGTCGAGCAGGTCCAGACACGTGCCCAGGAAGCAGCCGGCGGCTCGGTGCTGCTGGGGCTGCAGAAGCAGGGGTCCCGCCGAGCCAGGGGTGGCGCCCGCCTCGCTGATGGCCCGCACCAGGCTGTAGAGCAGGGGCACGGACAGCGCCATGGTGAGGCGGAAGCCCGTGGTGCCGAATGGCGCGCGCAGCTCGATGAGGTCCAGGATGGACGTGCCGAGGATTAGCACCACCTTGGGCGTAAAGGCGATGGAGTAGATGAGCCAGGCCAGGTAGGCGAAGGCGAACTCGCCCGCGGCCCCGGCAGCGCCCGGGCCTGCTCCCGGGCCACCTGCGCCCCCGCGGGCGCCGCGCGCCTTGGCCCCTGCGGCAGCCCCGGCGGAGGCGGCCGAAGCGGCGGGTAGATGTAGAGGCGGCGCGGCGTGGTGGTGGTGCTGGTGGTGGTTGTGCGCGCCGCTGGCCGCGCCGCCCCGACGGCCCCGGCTGTTCTTGGCGAAGAAAATAGCCCAGCCCACCACCACCACCAAGTCGGTGGCGATCCAGGAGCACCAGTACAGGTCGGTGACGGCGATGAGGTACAGGTCCAGCAGACCTCCCTGTGCCAGCAGCAGCACCACGGACAGCGCCTGGTAGCCCCAGCGGCACCCCGGGCTGGGGGCGCAGCCTCGGCGCCGACCCCTGCGACCCGAGCGGGCAGGGCGGCCACAGCAGCAACAACACGAACAGCAGGAGGTGCCGCTGCCGGTCCCCGTACCGCCCGCGCCCCCGGCCGAGCGGCTCCCGGGGCCCCCGACGGCCCCCGCCGCAGCGCCCCCGCCGAAGTCCGCGGTTGTCATGCTGCAGGAGGAGGTGGGCGTGGAGGTGGAGGAGGAGGTGGCGGCCGAGGAGGAGAAGGCGGCGGGCGCGGGGTCGGTGGCTGGGGCGCCCCCCTGAGCTGGGGGTCCCGGGAGGCCGGCTGGCACCAGCGGCTTGCTGATGCTGATGCTCTCGTCGTCGTCCTCTCTCTCGGCGCCGGTGCTGCTACTGGGGGAGCCGCCGCCGCCGCCGCCCCCGCCGCGTCTGCCGCCGCCTCCCCCCCCGGCTGGTGCTGGTGCTGGTGCTGCTGTCGCCCGAGCCTCTCCGGCCGCGGGAGGAACCCCCCCGGAGGAAGAGGGGCTGCAGCCGGGCAGCGGCAGGGGGCGGTGGGAAGGAGCCGGACGAGGACGAGACCGAGCGGGGGTTGCCGAGCGCTGGGTGCATTGTCCTCCGAGGGGCTCCGGGGGGGCTGCCCTGCTGCTCCCTCCCCGCCAACCCCGGGCTGGCAAGGCGGCCGAGGGGAGCCGGGGCCAGCCGCCGCCTCCTCCCCAGCGGCTGGTACTCGTACCCGGGTCGGGCAGCAGCGAGATCCGGACTGGAGCCACCGGACTGGGCGAGCCAAGCCCCGGGTGGCTGGGAGCGGGGTAAGCGAGGAGCTGAAACCACCGCGGTGACGACGGGCGCGGCGGGGGCGGGGAGCTAGCCTAGTAGGAGAGAAAGGGGAGGCTGGCGGCGGGGAAACCAGGACTGGATTCAAGGGGGAGAGGAGGAAGAGAGACCAGAGAAGGAGAAAGCCTGGCTCGCTGGATCAGCAGGAACAAAAAGGGGAAGGGGTTGCTGAGGCGCGAGAGTTGGGGTGGGGAGCCCTGCGGGGGGCCTAGAGGATGAGAGGGGAGGAGGGAGAAACGCGGGAGCGGGGCGGAGTTGGCACTGGGAGGACCTAACCGGAGCAGACGATTCCTAGGGAAGTCGTTCAGCGATCCCACCAGCCGAACTGCTGAAGCGTTAGTAAAGCGTTAGTAACCGGATGGCCTTGGTCTCCGTATAGATTAGGCCTCTGAGCACCAGGCCCAGGCGACAGGTTCCGGCCTCTGCGCCTGGTCAGCACAACTTCTGCGGACAGTAGGGGCAGCTGGGGCCTCTACACCGGGGCCAGCGCCCTTTCACCTGGGCAGCCTGCCTCTCCTTCAGGCACTTGAAAACTAATGGAGGAATCCGGCCATGCTGATTAAAAGGACCGGGAACAGCAGCCCAGACATGAATTTCTGCATATTCCTGTGTCCTGCCCTGGGTTCAGTGATGGACCCTCAGGGAGGTCCCATTTTCCAGTGACTGGAGTGGTTCTTTGAATATAACCGCTTGGGAAGAGAGCGCAGGTAAAAGAATTATTCATGTGACCCCAGCCAAGTGGGGCTTTGGGTATTCTCAGAGGTCTTTAAAGTGAGAATTAGAAATGATAAAGATGTATCTAGCAGAGAGGAAGAAAAGGGGACCTGTAGAGCTACAGGTACTGTGGTAAAAACAAAGGCTCGGAGAGGGTGCTGGTGAATATTTAGATCTGCCACTGTGGCCTGGCCCAGCAGCTATGAGCTTCCAGCACACTCTGACTCACCCCCTGGGATCTATTCCATGACTGGGGCTGGAGACCCATCAGCAATTCAGGAAAGCAGCAGGCACAGTCTCGGCTTCAGAGGTTTAGGGGAGAAAACAATAACTAGAGCATTTGGAACACGCGCGCACGCACACGCACACAAATCTGAGGCTCATGTAAAACACAAATATCCCAGCCACATCAGAGCAAGGCAGGAAGCTTGTCTGCCCCATCCTCCTTCTCCGCATACTTCAGCCTGCAAATTCCCTGCCTTAGCTTCATTGCTCTTAAAGCTTGTGCTGCTGGGGCTCGCACCACACAGTGCCAGAGAAAAGGATGCAGTAGCACCCTTGGGGCTGCTTGCCCACCCCTCGCCCCGAAATCTGCCTCCTGAAGAAGGGTCAGTTTGGGTCAAATCTGCTTTTTCCAGTCTCTTGGAGGTCCATCTCTACAACTAATCCATGGTAGATAGGGGACTTAGAGCCCCCAACCTGCACCATTTCCCCCTGCCTCTGGGACACATAAGCTTTAAGAAGTTCTGTGCCCAGTCATGCCAGACAGGAGATACTAGGTGGTAAGAACGTGAGCTCTGGGGTCAGTGGTCTCAGCTCAGCTTGTGTGATTTTGAACTGGTCATTTCCCCTCTCTGGCCTCATATTATCCAACTGTAAAAAGGGCCAATATCTATCCCAATAGGCTGTTATTAAAAGAGGTCATGAATTCAAAGGGTTTAGCCTAGTGCCTGGCACAGAGTATGTACCCAACTAAAGGCAGCTGGTGTTATCATAATTCCACTTAGCTCTTATCTTAACCTCCCAGGGAACATTTCCTCATGGCACAAGCCACTAATGATGTTTTCTGGACTGGACTCTTACCTGAGGCCACATTCAGAGCTCTGTTCCCCACAGCTCTGCAGTTCAGTAAGTGCCAGGGAGCAAAGCTGCTCTCATTAGGACAGTGCTTCTTGGAGCTGGTCTTCACAGACTTCACAATGTGAGAGCTTCGGCTCTGGCAGCAGGTGCAAGGCTCACCCACAGGGGGCAAGGTGGGGAATAAACAGTGGGTACAGCCCACACTCCTGTGTGAACATCACAGCAGGTCCAGCAGATGTCAGGGCTGAGACAGTCCAGGTTAAAAAGCAGATTGGGGAGCTGCCAACTGCTAATGGGAGTGATTCTAGCCAGTCTCCCAGCTTTCCCCAGGGAAAACACCAGCCAACAACTAACCTGAAAGCTGACCCAAGACTTCTACTCAAGTTAATGAAGCAGTTGAAGGAGGAAAAGCAGCTGATGAAGGCAAAGAACTGGGCTCCTGAGAGAACACTGACAGATCTGTCCCCACTCCCCATATCTCCCAGCTCCCCTGCCCCGCTCATCCCCTCCTGCTCTCACCTGGTAGGCCCAGCCCCTCCTCCCACAGTTGCCTCCAGGACAGGGATCCTCCTGGGTAATTTGAATGGTTAACAGCCCTTTGAAACTATCTTTTGTATTTCTGGGGAATATACTGTCCATCAGTTAGGCTAACTGTATGATATCAGTTAGTCCAATTTTTTCCAATTTAAGGCCCTGAATAAAAGACCACATATAATAAGGATGAGAAATCAGAGTACATGAAAGAATAATTTGGTGGTCTGGGTATTGGAGGGATTGTTTTTTTCTAATCTTCTGTGTATACACACACACACACACACACACACACACACACACACACACACAGCCTTTGCTTCGGGAAGGAAAGAGCTTGACAAAGATGGGACAAGGAGAAGAAAGAAGCCAAAAAGGCTTTCTCATATATAAAGTGAGAGCAAATATCCCATAAAGATATAGAAAAGGGAAGACACAGTCACCAAGTACCTCATAAGCACTGAGGGTTTAGCTAGATATCTTACACACAATACCTGGAAACTGAGACACAGAGAGGTTAAGCAACTTACTCCACATCACGCAGCTAGTTAAGGGCAGAGTTAAGGTTAGATCTAGACTTCTCTCTCAGCCCAGCGCTCTCACCACCCACCACTCTCCAGGATGGCAGCAGCTCATAGGCATCTTGGGGGACAGGGACAAACTAAGCAGGTTTCAATCCAAAAAATATTTCCCTAAGAACCTGCTAAACACTGGACACTGGGTAAGGTTCCTTTGGATGTCTAATATTCTTGCCCTCCTGGAATGGAAAGGCCAAGGGCTCACTGCCTTCCAGGAGCAGCAGGGGATGGACTAGGAGTAAGGGAACAATATCCCCAGCCAGCTCAGCAGCTTAGGAAAGCTTAGTGAGGCAAGGCCAGCCCTTCCGCATACTGAACCAAGGCCCTACTCTTTCCTGATCCATTCTCTGCTCACTATCACTGCCTTCTCTCACCTTCACAGCAAAAACAAAGAACAGGTCCAAAGAGAGCTGTGAGAGGGGTGTATGGAGCCCTACAAGTGCTCAGTGAAAAGACACAAGCAACTGTGTTCTCAACTACACAGTCACCATACTGACTCTCAGAAAATGAAAGGGAAGCTGGCAGGGAACTGGGACTAAAGTAGGATGGAGTCTGTGAACCTTGGGCTTAGGAACTTGAAGCCTCAAAACGACTTCTAGAGCTCTCTAAAGATAGACAATACTACCACTGCCCCAATTCAGACCTCCTCTAACACCTGGAGCAAGCCTGTGCCTTGAGCTGCCCCACGGATGTCTCACAGAGACGCCACTACCTTCTTGGATAAAGAAGTCCTAGCATCAGCACCTCCATGTGTCAGTCCCTGGGCTAGGTGTTGGGGTTCCAGAAACTAAAACAAAGCAAGTCTTTTCCTAGGCATCCACCCTGGGTGGAAAACGCAGTGAAGTGATCGAATGCTAGACAAGGTCCAGAAGAGGTACAAATAGGAGTCAGTAAAGCCTTAGAGAGGTTATGTGCAAGCTGCTGTAAAAGGTGGGGAGATGATGGTTGGCAGATGGGGGGGATGGGGATGGGCTGGGAGAGCATTCCGGGTAGAAGGAGCAAGATGAACAAAGTACTTACAGTATTAAATAGGAGGACACATTTAAGGAATTGCAAGTATTTGACACTGCTTGAATATAAAGTGCAAGAAGGAACAAGAAAAGATAAGGCTGAGGGAGGAGGCAGGGGTCAGGTTACAGCGGACCTCAGATGCCATACTGAGCTTGGGCTGCATTCTGAGAGAATGGAGAACTCTTAAAAGCAGAAATGTAGCAAGAACAGATTTGCATTTTAGAAAAGTTGTTTTGCAGTAAAGATGATGGATTGGAAGGAAGAGAAAATGAAAGCAGAGACTATGTTCCACTTCTGGCAATACTGTGAACTAAATAATATAAAACCGCTCCAGCTCACAAAAAAAAAAAAAAAAAAAAAACCACAAGATTAAAATCGAATATCCTTTTAAATGCCCAGTTAAAAGAGTAAGATAAATTCTTGGAGCCATAAATAAAGAGCAAACTGAAAACCAGAATGATAAGTGAAGTAAATGATGCTGTGAGTGCCTTCACATATGTAGTCTGTCTCAAAAGGGAATGTTGTCTAAGATGGTAGGGACAAGCCATAAATAGCAATCTAATTTAAATTTACTTAAATTAATAGAAATAAATTGAAACTTCAAATTCAATTTCTCTGTTTCACTAGCAACATTTCATAACTGCTCAAAAGCCCCATGTGACTAGTGGCTACCATATGGGACACCAGATATAAAACAACTCCATCACTGTGGCAAGTTCTATTGGACCACACAGATGGGAACTTGGATTTAATAGCCAAACAGAGACAGGAAACCTGGCATTCAACCCAAATGAGGCAAGAAGGCAGAGCTGACCTTCCTACATAAAACCAGAACCCTCAATGAAAGGATGGACTAGAAAAACAAATCTACCACTCAAACAGGGAGACTGCATGGAAATAAATGAGCATGGTCCTAGGCTGGAAGTGATATAAAAATCTTTACTGGAAATTCATTACCATGGGTTTATACCACGTATAGATTTGGAATTTTAATGATCTCATGCTGAAAAATTAACATTAATATTAGTTGTAGGCTGACAATAACCATGGATGCCTACCAAAAGCAAATATAAAACAGTTCTGAAGGGCCACACTTTCAACCCAGGCCTTTAAAAAAGTCCCACAGATAAAAACCCAGTAAAAGTGAGCTTACAGTCCCAAATTAAAAAACACAAAAGGAAGTACCCATTATGAATGAAAGCCAGCAGATTAATATACAGCAAGATCAGACCCTCCCAACCCCACCACCAAGAACTTCAAATGATGAAGGCTACACTACCAATAGGTTTACAATGATTAAAAACATAAAAAAGGAATATAATGTTACAAAAGAGAATGGTATAGAAAAAGAAAAGAATAAGGCAGGGAAAAGGATATCCAAGAATGGCAGTGTATAGATCTCCATGAATTTTCTCCCCAGTGAAACAACCATAAAATCAACCATTTAAAATTTCTGAAAATCATCTTAGGGCACCCAGTAAATGGAAAAATGTTTATTCAAGAAAGCATACTAAATCACTTTAATAATAGCAAGAGTCTGTGGCATTTAAGCCACAACCTGCTCCCTTCCCTCCCCCAGCTGAGTGTGAGAGAAACTTTACTTCAGATGAGTACAGCCAAGAAGAAAGGGGCCCTCATCTCCCAGTCTAGGATAATAGTTTCTCCCTAAAGGATTTCTAATCCCACTCCCAACACCCACTCCCACCCCTGCTTCCTGTGTGGAAATTCTGTTCCAGAAAAGCACAGCTGAGAGGTTTGAGATTCCCTACTTCCACCCAGTCCCTTCTTGTAGAGTGAAAGTTCTAATCTAGATGTGGCAGGCCAAAAATACTGGGCCAAATCACCCTGTCCCACTCACTTGTACCCTAGGAGTTCCAGGCAGGGAGAGGCAAGCTGGGAAGACAAGTGGCTATTACCACCTCCTCTCATCCCCTTCCAATTCATAGAAAAGGTGTTTCACTCCAAGAGAAGTATGTTGCTGAGCAGCAGCACAAAGGCTCTGCCTTAGATGTAGAAACAAAAAAACTCTAGCTCAACCTAAAGACACTGACTTTATTTGGAACAGAGTATGGGGAAACTCAAGTCTAAGGGCACTGTCGAAGACAATGGAGATCTTAGTGGTGAGTAATGTAGAGGAGGCTGATAGTTCCATGATGGAATAAGTGAAACAGTAAACCAGCTAAAACTTTAACAGAGAGAACCAGGGAAGGAGTTAAAAAGAGCCCACCTGCCGACAGAGTAAGCCTCAAAAAGTGGTCTCAAGTACTATCCCTGCAAAGGCGCCCTACTCTGATGGATCAGATGTGGAGCAATTGATGCCCCATGACATTGTCAAAAATAACAGGACAATCCGCTGTCAGTTAGTGAAGATTAACAGATGGGTGTGATATCAATAGAAGCTGACCAGCCAGAAGCATAACTGGGAGATCAGGGTAAAAGACCGTCAATGAGAACCCAGCTAAAACAAGAGGGAAGGGAGACTGGGTACATGTCTAAGGCTATTGAAGAGACATCAGAGGCTTCCCACTACAAGGAAAATACACTTCACCAAATTTGTTCAGCCACGGACATCTATGACATCCATGATGTCCATGATAAAAAGTCCTGAGGTGGGGGTGAGAGATCATAGTCAGTTTCCCAAATTGTTACATTATCTTAAATGTCCTGTTGTAAAACATTATGAAACAGAGGAAAGTGTAACTCATACAAAGGGAAAGAAAGCCAGACAACAGAAACTGCCACTGAGGGGCCCAGACATTGGATTTAGGAAGCAAATGCTTCAAAGCAGCTACTATAAATTGTTCAAAGAACCAAAGGAAACCATGCTTAAAGAATTATAGGAAAGTATGATGACAATGTCTCATCAAATAGAGAATCTGAAGAGATAGAAGAAAATAATAATATAATAATATAATATATAATAATATAATTATGATTATATAATATTATATATAATATATATATAATATAATAATATAATGTAATATAATAATAATAATACAAAATGGAAACTTCAGAGTTGAAAAGTTCAATAACTAAAATGAAAATATTCATTAGAGGAATTCATTCAACAGTTCATTTGAGCTGGCAGGAAGAAGATTCAGCAAATTAAAAGATACATTAATGGAGATTAAACACTCTGAAAAACAGAGAGAAAAAAGAATGAAGAAAAAAAATGAGCATAACCTCGGAGAGATATGAGACACCATTAATCATATCAACATACACATACTGAGAGTACCTGAAGGAGAGAAGAGAAAGAAAAAAAAGCAGAAAAAATATTAAAAGAAATAATTTCTTGAAACCCTCCCAAATTTGATGAAAACTATTAATCCACACATCCAAGAAGTTCAACAAACTCCAAGTAGGATAAACGCAGAGATCCAGATACATCATAGTCAAAACGTTAAAAGCAAAAGACAAAAAGAAATCATGAAAATCAGCAAGGAAAAAACTATGTCATATACAAGGAAATCCCAGTAAGATTACAGTTAACTTCTCATCAGAAAGAGTAAAGGGGTGCCTGGCTGGCTCAATCGGTGGAGCATGCAATTCCTAATCTCAGGGTCCTGAGTTCAAGCCCCACCACTGGGCATGGAGCCTACAGGAAGGAGGGAAGGAAGGGAGGGAGGGAGAGATAAAAAAGAAAGAAAAGAAAAGAAAGAGTA